CACCATTTTACATAGCCCGGGGAATACGCACTTCCTTTTATCACCACCCTCACAGAGCCTGCCTTCTGAACTACAATTAAGCGTCTGAACAATGTAACATTATCATTGCTTGCTGGAAGCAATGCATGATGGGTTATGTAGTCTTGAGAAATGGAGATTGCATCACATCAAGCAGCAGGGACAGAGACGCAAAGCACACTGGGGATCCGGGAAATTGTGGGAAGTGATGGGCAGACGGAAGGCAGCGCTCGCTACATAAGGGATTCTTCCAAAGCTTTGACTGCATTCTCAGAAACAACTGTATTCCTATCACAATGCTGATGTTATAACAGGAGAGGATATGCCGTGAGACTTTACAACGCTTTAAAAAACGTTTGCAAATGCACATTCTTGATGCCTGAACAGTAAATAGTTCCACCCTTAAGAGATAAGCAGATGAAGGCATTGTCAGGGGGAGTACTTTGATCTCCCTTACACATTACATAGCATGCATCCACGTAACATGAAAAAATACATCCGATGCCAGGTCCATGCTTAAATTGTCCTAAGGCAGGCCTTTAGGGCTTGTTCACACCAAATACGTTCCAGATGCATGGCAGTTACAGAACGCATCAAAAACGCATCCAATGTATTCCAATGGTATTTTGGGCTCTAGTTCACACCACAGCGTTCAGTTCCAGAGCATGTAAAAAACTGCAGAAAGCCCTATTTTTTTTCCTGCTCTGCAACTCTCAGGAATGCATCAGAAATGCATGCAAACACCCTGGAACACACTAAAAGCCCATTTTAGGCTCAAGAAAACAAAAACGCACTGGAACTCGTCAAAACGCATAAGTATGCATGTGCAGAAACACAAGCAGATCTGCTCTGCATTTGTTGTGAACAAGCCCTTACATCCTTTCAGTAAAAATCACAGCATCGTGAAGCTCTGCGCAATGATATCAGGTCATCTTACATTCATTAGTTAAACATTGTTTTCTTTTACTTATAATTATTGTTTTTCCTCTTCCTGGTTGAATGAGGCACTGGTGATGTAGACCTGGCCTCACAGATGCATCCTGGGAAGGCTACATTACCAGTGCCTTGCTGGGAAATATCATCTGTAAACAACTGCAACCACTTCCTGGTTGAGTGATGTAGCCCTGGCCTAGCAGGTGTGTCCTAGGAAGTCTACCTCACCAGTGCCTTCCTGGTCAATATAATCTGTAAACAATTGCAACCACTTCCTGGTTGAGTGATGTGGCCCTGGCCTAACAGGGGCATCCTAGGAAGTCCACATTACCAGTGCCTTCCTGGGAAATATCATCTGTAAACAATTGCAACCACTTCCTGGTTGAGTGATGTAGCCCTGGCCTAGCAGGTGTGTCCTAGGAAGTCTACCTCACCAGTGCCTTCCTGGTCAATATCATCTGTAAACAATTGCAACTACTTCCTGGTTGAGTGAGGCACTGGTGATGTAGCCCTGGCCTCACAGATGCATCCAGGGAAGGCTACATCACCAGTGCCTACATGGGAAATCTCAACTGTAAACTATCTCAATCTCACCAGATCTCAGGCTGGGGGTGGGGGAGCACTGTTCCCCCATAGATGTTGTGCACTGTCACATTTTCCAGGAGCCAGACCAGAGTTCCCAGAAGTAGAGAGAGAGACCGATTAGTCCGCCCTAATAAAAATGGTCACCGTTAAAAGAATGGGAGGAAAAGAAAAATAAGGCATGCAAAAAAACAAAAAAAAGATAGCAATTATCTCTAAGTATCTGTATATAAGTATTCTGTAAGTATTTTTTGCTTTTACTTACAATTACTGTTTTTCCACGTCCTGGTTGAGTGAGGCACTGGTGATGCAGCCCTGGCCTCACAGATGCATCATGAGAAGTCTATATCACCAGTGCCTTCCTGGGAAATTCTCATCTGTAAACTGCTCAAACTCCCTAGATCTCAGGGTTGGGTGGGCACTGTTCCTCCATAGATGATGTGCACTGTCACATGTTCCAGGAAGCAGACACAGAATTCCAGGAAGTAAATGGATCAATCCGCCCTTAGCAAAAATGGCCACCGTGAGAAGAATGGGGAAGAAAAGAGGTATGCAAAGAATAAAAAGCCGGCAATTATCTATAAGTATCTGTTTTGTAGATTCCCGAGTCTTGTGTTCTGCGTCCAGTCACCTGTGGTAATGCGGCGCTGGTTTCACTGTAACTGACCATTAAACACATTACACTGCATCCATTGTGTTAGCACAGGACATGAATTATGAATTGGAACAATGTTAAGATTCGATTATTCTGCACTATGTGGCATGTTTTCTTCTCTTCTCTCTCGAAAACTTCCTTTTAAAGACGGCTTGTTGTCATTACAGCGTCAGCCTTGTTATTATGCAAGGTAACAGGTTATTATATCATTACGTTGATGTTTGCTCGCATTGTGGCCTTTGTGATGCTTAACATGCCGAGCTTATGAAACACAAACACTGCCCTGGGTAAATAGCTATGCACTAGGCCACAATAAAGTGCACCTGGGGGGGGGCACCCCCCTGAAATGATGGCAGATAGTACAGGAAGCAATAGCTTCTTTGCTATGTGCAGGGTTTTTATTTAGTATTCAGCTGCTGCCGTCAGAATAATAATAAAATAAAAAAACAGCATAGGAATGCATGGCTAGATTCCTATTGGCTATTTCAATATCCAATAGCAAGCTAGCTATTGCACCCGCCCTCTGCTGCTGTCAATCACTAGAAGAATGACCTGATGAAGAACTTCAGGCCCCCCTCTGCTGATTGACAGCAGCAGTGGGCGGGTGCATTAGCTAGTTTGCTATTGGCTATTGCAAATTGAAATGGGGTATGCTGGGTTTTTTTTTCTTCTTCTGACTGATGGCGGCCGGCGGCTCCGATGTCAGAAAAAAAAACAAAAAACAACAGAGCAGGGAAAGGTTTACTCTGCTCGATCGAACAGTCTAAACCTTTCCGTGAAAAAATGTTTCTCTTCCGGGCGGCCGGGAGCCGCTACCTAATAGCGGGAGACTCGCGGAGCGTCCGGGAGAGTTGGGATGTCTGTATCACCAGCACACCGAAGTCAAATCTCCAACGAGTAGTCATTTTATTCATGCGCACAAATCTCGTCACAAAGCAACGTTTTGGGGGCCACTCAGGGTCCCTTCTTCAGGCATGCTTTGCGACGAGGTGTGTGTGTGTGTATCAATACAATGACCACTCATTGAAGATTTTACTTTGGTGTGCTGGTGATATACAGTGGTACCTCAGTTCGCATACTTAATTCCTTCCACGATTCTGGTCGCGAACCGAAACAAATTGTCACCTTCATTACCGCTCTGCACTTTCTTTTTACCACCATGCTTGCTCGGCAGTTTCTTTGGAGCCATGCTGGATTGAATAATACTGTACAGTACTGGATGCGCTAAAAAGCACACAAAAAAAGCTTCACAGCAAGTGTGCACAGGTGTGCCTGCGACCACAATCTCGACTAGAGGAAGCCACGACCACGTGTCAGGGCTTGTTCACACGACGTCCGGATTCTGTCCGGACCAGAACAGTTCGCTCCTGCACCAAAAATGCATCCCAATGTCTCCCTATGTGTTGGCCTCCATATGGCCTCCAGTTATCACCAGCGCAGTCCGTTCCGGTCAGAAAAAAATACTGCATGCCACATTTTCTCCGACCCGGAAACGCACAAACAACGTCAAAAACATAGCGAAAACGCGCTGCACAGCACAGCCCCACTCCACCTAAAAAAGGAACTGGAATGTGTCCGGAACGCGGTAAAAATGCACTGCACGCATACCACAGCGTCTGCAGATCTGCACCAGATCTGGACCAAAAAATGGTGTGAACAAGCCCTCAGGGCAGGGAAGATGGCCGCGGTCGTGTTCGTCACCCAATGTGGAGTTCGCGAACAGAAGCGTTTGTGAACCGAGGTTGTATTTTACTACTTGGATTTGAAATGGCGCCATCCACTACCACTGCAGCACCCACCCTAAAAAGGGACTTACCAGTAAGGAGTGCGGTGGGGACCTCTTTGCAACTTATTAAAGTGAAGGACTTTAAAGGGTAGGTTCACTTGAGAACTTACCCTTTAAAAGGTAAGAAAATGGACTTAGTGGCAGCACCCCGCCACCTCTCCCAGCACCTGATGCATATACTTGTGTGACACCCGCCCCCCCCACCCCATCAGCCGGTGTACACTCCATACACCGTACTGCACAGCCCTGCAGTATGTAATGAGCATAATGCTTGCATGTGATGAGTGCTCGTTATTCAGCACAGTCACATGACCATGCTGAGCAATAACAAGAACTTCTGAACCGGGGACAAGGTACTGGAAGAAGCGTTCCTCATAGTCACATGACCATACTGACCCAAAGAGCACTCATCATTTGGGAGCATTATGCTCGTTGAATACATCAGAGCTGAGAACATGCTGACCATTGAGCAGCCACCATTTGGGAACATTATGCTGGTTGAACAGTAGAAAGGCATCATGGCACACTCACAAACTAGCATGTAAAACAACTTGTCTCACCACTAAGGACAATGACAGAGGTTTGGATACACGTCTTCTGCAAAGGATGTGTAAGCCGCACTGCCGCGCCAAGGCACCTCTTATAGTGCGGTCCTAACTCTAAGAGGTGCCTTGGCGCGGCAGTGCGGCTTACACATCCTTTGCAGAAGACGTGTATCCAAACCTCTGTCATTGTCCTTAGTGGTGAGACAAGTTGTTTTACATGCTAGTTTGTGAGTGTGCCATGATGCCTTTCTACTGTTCTACTGTTCAAAGCCCATTTCGTGTGCACCTTACTGTACAACTGGTAACAAATTGTTGAGTGCGTTTGTCGTTTGTTTTGCATTATGCTGGTTGCACACTGCAGGGCAGTGACCATGCTGACCAATGAGCACCCATTTGGGAGCATTATGCTCACTACATATTGCAAGGCTGTGACCATACACCGAATGGCTGGGGGGGGCTCACACAGTCATGTGCAGCGGAGTGCTGGGAGAGGTGGCAGGGTGGTGTCAGTAAGTACATTTTCTCACATTATGAGAGAAGGTGAACTTACCATTTAAAGTTTTTACATATTCTTAATATGCAGTAAAAGAACTTTAATACAAGCCCTCACTGACCTATGTAGCTGCCTGTACTGTGAAATAATTAATCCTCAAAGATCACAGCTATGGTTCTTCGCCACTGGGCCGCGGCCTTAATGCAGCCATGACATTTTTCTTCTTAGGTTTAAATATGTGTTCAGGTATTTTCTTAGGGCGCAAGGGTTTTCTAGATGGCTCCTAAGGGTTATGGAAGCCTATTTCAACTATTTTGGACCTGTCCTTGTGGTAAAAAATTTTTTAGGGGGTTCAAATAAAGTACATACACTCACCTGATCCTCGTTTCCCCGGGCTTACCCATCTCCCTCTCTGCTCTGGCTGTGTTGTGTAATGTCCCTCAGCATCCTCACATCTAATGCAAGTCAATGAACCTGTATTAGACGTGATGATGTCAGCGCGGCTTAGACTGCTGAAGCCGGGGAGAGAAAAGGCTGTGGGGACCGGACTAGCAGGCAAGCAGGACCGACAATCAGGCGAGTACATCTGCCTTATTTAAGCCCCTTAGACAAAAGGAGCACTTAACCCTTGCAGTGCAGAGGTAGCCAATCAGACGGTTCCTTGCATAGATGTCAGTAGAGTTAAAGGAGATTGAGCAATCAGATTGTAACGTGTGTGGCCAGCTTTCGGCCAATGGCAAAACCCCCATGCACAGGCATGCACGCCCATGGAGCCGCTTCCAGGAGGGACAGGTGCTGTGTGTAATTACGTGCAGCCGCCTGTACATCCCTATGAGAGGGCACAGCTGCACGCCGACCCGAACCAGCAGACCCGTGCACGTCTGGGTGTCCTCGTATGGACGTCCTCTGTCTGCGTCCCTGTGCGGGTATGCAGACCTGCATGGACATGCAGGTTGGGGTGTAGCTGCATCCTCCCATAGGGATGTACAGGAGGCGGCATGCAATTACCTCCCGGGAGCAGGCCTCTGCATGTGTGTGTGTGCATGCCGTAAGGATGTGCATGCCCATGTGAATGAGCCCTTAAAGTGTCACTCCTGCCCTTGCTGAGGTGAATGATGGGAAGTCTCATTAACAGGGCCCTGGACAGCAATACAAACCTAACAGGGGTTCTAATCCTTCTTCAATCTATCCAATACTAATAAAAAGGTTTTGGGTGGACATACATGGAAGACTTTCAGCTCGTTACCCCTTCACCATCCAGAAAGGCAAAATACATTTTTCAGCATCTGATAGTTTACACGACCGGCGGCGTGTCTAACATTTCAAACAAGATTTATATCTGTTTATTCCTGTGAACGAGCGCACAAATATGCATCCGATTGAGACAGTTCTGCGTTGTTTACAGACGTCATGGACCCCATGCATGCAGGCCCCGTGCTCCAGCACACATATGCACTGCACAGCTATGTATGTGCTTGCTTGTGGATGTTTGCTTCCCGTTCCCATTGTTTACATGAACATACAGCTGTTCATTGCTAAACGATAATTATATTGCTTACAGCAAACACTTAGCAGGGCAGCAGAGAGTGCCGCAGGGCAGGAAGTGCAGGGATGGTGACAAAGCCATGTTCTGGCACTGGAGGGGAATGATGGATAATGTGTCTGTAGACGAGCAGGCCCGGAGAAGGGATGGCCACACGCTGTGAGAGGACCAGACGTGGCTGTTGAGAGTGACATATGTCATCTATGCTGATAGGATATTGTAGGGGCCTGAAGACAGTTTACAGAGGCAGATCCGGATCTGTGGAGAGGCAGCGGAAGGTGCATGCGGATAAAAACAGGTCGGTTGGATAAGCAGGCATGATCAGATTAGTCGCTAGTACCCCTGGCAAACCGAGGAAGGATAGGCTGGGGTCCAGGGGGGCATTTTCCCCACCCCTAATGTATGTTGGGCTGCAGAGATGTCAGCCTGGGAGAAGGGTTGCCTTGGTGCCCAACTTGCAGCCCTTTAGTGTTTGGACTGTGTCCCTCCGGCCCCAGTAGTGGAGCCTTGATTTGTAAAGGGGCCTTTAATAAAAGCAATCTCTAGCAGTTTTGTGTAACTTGTCACAGTCTCCCACTGACTCCTACGGCCCGACCCTCCCAGTCTCCCACTGTCTCCTACGGCCCGACCCTCCCAGTCTGAGAGCCTGACTTTCCTAGTCTGCACAGCAGCCCTTTGATATTTTAAGTGCAGCCGCCAGGCCCCATCAGTCAGTAGTGGGAGCCTTGAAAAGCTACCTTTAATAACAGTAATCCTTAGCAGATTCTTGTAACATGCCCCCCAGTCTCTGACTGTCTCCTACAGCCTGACCCTCCCAGTCTCTGACTGCCTCCACTGCCCTTTGGTGTTTGAATGTGGACCTTGGACCCCAGAAGTCAGTGGTGGGAGCGTTGATTTGTAAAGGGGACTTTAAGAACAGTAGTCCCTAGCAGTTTCTTGAAACATGTCCCCAGTCTCTGACTGTCTGCTACAGCCTGACCCTCCAAGTCTCTGACTGCCTCCCACAGCCTGACCCTCCAAGTCTCTGACTGCCTCCCACAGCCTGACCCTCCAAGTCTCTGACTTGTTAAATTGTCGCCCCTCCCAATAAAATAATGTCTTATCTCTCTGTATCCACAAAACACTAATAAACAACATCAACCAACTAGTCAGTCAGTCACTATATGATGGAACGGTCAGTTGGGCTGGTCAGAAAACGACAGATCTCCTTCCCCCGACCTCTCCATTCATATAAATAGAAATGTCCAGCTGAGCAGAATGTTCCTGTTCATGGATGAGCTGCCGGCCCTAATCAGGACATAGGAAGAATGTCTTCTATGCAAGGCAGATATTGTAGCAATGTTGTATACACAATTATAAACTGATTTGGCACTACAATGGAGTACTGCATGCTGCATTAAAAGGAGAACTATGAGGTGAGTCATTTCCACTCACCTCATAGTTCTAGCCGACCTGTGACAATGAGACTGTCACAGGTCGGCTCCGTAGATCGGGAGGTGAGCGAACACATACCGGGTTCGCTCACCTCTCGATCCTGTCACGGCTCTCTGCCGTGACAGGGGAGGGGCTGGATTCCCCTCTCCCCGCTCCGATCTGCCAGCGCTGACTGGCGGAACGGACGGGGAGGGGGCGGGTACAGCTGGCTCTGCCTCTAGATAGGCAGAGCCAACTGTCACTCACGCAGCTGGGCGCATCCCGACGTCCAGGTCGGGATCCGCTCCGGCTGCGGCGTCTCTCGCCGTAGCTCGCGGTATACTGAGCTTAGGGTAACGGGAGGACGCTAGTTTGTGTCCTCCCGTTACCCTAAGGAGAGCTATGGGGAAAAACACTGACCCCATAGTTCTCCTTTAAGGCTGAACTCCAGGCAAGCAGCTAAATAAACTCTGTGCCAACTGTAGTATGAGCCAGAGGATTTAGAATGAAGCCCAGACACTTTTCTGATTTATATACCCGAGTCAAACAGCACAGCCAGGAGGGGGACACCACTTTCCTTGTTAGAGTTGGGGAGCACAGTGGTGTCACCTACCTCCACACATCCTGCTAATGGACAGTGAAGAAACAGGAACATTCTGATAGGTCATCAATTCTGCTCACTCAACATGTTCCCTGTATGAAGAAGACCTGATTGCCTCCTAGTGCTGCTGCTCCCTCTCCCAGTCTAAGTGCCGCCGTGTAGATTTGGTCATACACCGACTGAATTTTACGCTGATCCGTGGGTGGCCCTGCCAGCTCGACAAAATTTGAATTTTCAATCCACTTTTGTCAAAGGATCCGAATGGAAAATTGTAAGCCCTACAGGGACTGCAACCAATCAGGTGCAGTCACGTGTCAGGTGTTCTGATAGCTGCGGGCGGCGGCTGTCAGAATACAATAGCTGGCAGGGGAGATTCCTCCATCCGCACTCTGTAGCATGGATTGGGGGGGGGAATTGCGATTTTCATGGGCTAAACAAGAATAATCTTACAGTATATGGCCAGGCTTAGGGGACAATAGGTGGCTGATATCAGGCAGATGTATGTAGGCTGCATGTAAAAGTTCATCTAATTAATTTTAAAGGTTACGTTCACCCCAAGCGCGCATTCACACCCGCACCACGTTCATGCGCACTCGTGTACTGCATTTGCCACACATCCCCATTGAGTTTCATGGGGCCTGAACGAGCGACCAATGCGGCAAAAAAATCCCTTCACGTTCTGCCTTTTTTTGCTTCTGCGTTTTAATGTGCACAAAAATGCGCATCTCCCTGGCAGCGTTTGGGGGTGCCATTAGAAATTAAGGGCAACAGAAACATGTTGCTCTCTGTCAATAAACAAACAAAACCTACGTCTCTATTGCAAATCTATGCGTGTCTGAAAACATCCAATAAAATATCGCAACACATTCCGTCAACGTGCATTTGGTGCAGGTGTGAATGCGGGCCAAGTCCCTATTTACACCTACGAGTACTGGGAACAAGCTTTGCGTTCGTGCGCATTTTGTTCCCGTGTTGGCTGCACGCCCCTATTGGTTTCAACTCTATTGCGTATATTTTAATTCGGCTCGCTCGGCCGTGTCATTCATTCCCAGATCCGTTCACTGCCTCTGTGAATGAGAAAACTCCCATCAACCACTGCAGCAGAGGGACTCATAGGGCTCAATGGAGTACAAATGCTGTGACGGTGACACTTGTAGTCCTATCAGGACTTCCTCCAGCTCCATAACTCACTACGGACCTGGAGAGAAACAGTCTGCGGCAGCCAGAGCATTGCACCCGGCGCAGTTGCAAAGCTATGCATTTTTTGTTTGTTTTTGCAATACAGGTACATTATTCCATTTTTTCCACACAAAAAAAAAGTGGAATACGCCTTTAAGGAAATACACGCCGGCATTGAATTGTGTATTTTTCATGTCTGCTCAGAGTTCAGCTTCAATGGGGGACACAATATATTTGACGAGAGGCAGATATGGTGACATACAGAATAATGAGAGCTCTGGTGGGGTCAGGCAGATAAGAGGAGAGCTGGCGTATGGGATGGGGGCTCAGTGATAAGACTGTTTAGGGATAGGGGAGGGGTATTGAATAGAGCTTGCGTATCCGATGTACAGATAGTGAAGCGATGGTGTGTGAGCATTTTATAGACATATTAGTGATGGCTACAGGCAGAATGCAGCAGATAATGACACTAGAGGGGACGGCGCTGGGAAAACAACGGAACGGGAAGACTGCGGCATACTGGGGCTAGTAAATGTTTCCATGTACATATTTACTAAATCAGAACAGTCTGAAAAAAGATTCGTGAGAAAAGCGATCGTTCATTAATGAGAACCCAATCGCTAAAATCTCATACAAGCTTTAACTCGTCAAAGCTGAGCTCTGGTCACATGACCTTTCATTTCAATATATTCCTCAACAGCCACGAAGGATATAGAATGACAGCACTCGAGTGTCAAAGAGATGACGACTTATAGCGGAACTCCACAAAACTTTCATTTAAATATATATTCCTCAACAGCTACAAAGGATATAAAAATGCACATTGTACGCACCAAATGCCTTCGCCAACCCAGATATTAAAAATTGTAGCGACATCATCACTGTGCTGTACATAGACTGTGCAGAGAGCAGGGCTGTGGGAATGGCCATCAGGCTCCACCTACTACAGGAGTGGGCAGAGCCAAGACCAGTCACCCTGCACAATTACAGAGAACAGTGAGCAGTCTTTATTACAGGAGGGGGTGTAGACAAGACCAGTCACCCTGCACAAGGAGAGAGAGCAGCAGTGACCGGTCTTTAATATAGGAGAGGGGCAAGACAAGACCAGTCTCCCTGCACAAGGAGAGAGAGCAACAGTGAGCGGTCTTTATTACAGGAGGGGGCAGAGACAAGACCAGTCTCCCTGCACAAGGAGAGCAGCAGTGGGCGGTCTTTATTACAGGAGGGGGCAGAGACAAGACCAGTCTCCCTGCACAAGGAGAGAGAGCAACAGTGAGCGGTCTTTATTACAGGAAGCTCCAAGTCACACACTGGATCACTGCAGATCTGGAAGAAATACAGGAATCTCACCCAAGATTCAA